TCCAAAAGGTACTACGCAATGGTTTCACTCAACGAAAGGTCTGCATTGTACGGTATAATACCGGAGCCTATGTATCCCCTAGCAGTGGCAGAGATTGGGCCCTCCTTTGTCGTTGGCGATCAGCCTCCCGTTGATGTCCAACACAGGCACGGGCCAATCGATTGTTCGGGTCCGCCGAGGAACGAGAGAAAAACAGTTTCATCTGCCCAAGAGCCGAGGAGCAAAAGACGGAAGTATATGGACTGAGTAAGTCGCGTCTTTGATCACTTTCACATTGCTATCGCGTTCCGCTCTCCTAGTAACAACACGACGATTAAAGAGAGCTATGGCGCAAACTTTCACACGGAGTGGATGGTCTGTGACAGACCGCATATCGTTCGTTGCTCCGTGTCCTCGGCAATATTCTCTTTCGGCAGCCGCTTGAGAACGCGACAAAGTTCGCCGACGTTAGTCTCCGGTATCTTCTGGAGCTCGAAAAGACATTAGCGAGGTCACAGAGAATCGGTCATCCAGACGAATCAAATTGACTGATTGACTGAATTCCGCCTACCTAACAGAAACCACACATGCCAGGATTTTTGGCCTTAGAAATAAATAGGAAAGCCAAACGGAAAAAACTCCCGTCAGATAAAATGATAGGGCCCATATGGGTGAGGGTGCTTCGTATAGCGGACGGATGGGATGTATAGTCGGCTTGGTCCATTTGGACAGAACCTCGACTAGTAGCTTTCGAAACGGAATAAGGATGAACCGTCACACTCAATCAAATAAGACTGAGGGTAGAAATCAGGACCAAGACTCTCATTGAACACTTCACTGCAGTCTCATTGCATCCAGAGTGCATTGCTTCAAGCACCAGCCCCTTTATGAGTAGAAGGTAGTGTCTAGGAATACGCGAAGGGGCTCCCCGGAACCTGGCGCTCCTAGGAATTATGAATGTGACCCTGGGGGCATGGGCAGGGCTGCTATTACAACTAGCTTTAAGGGACTTCCATTACTCGCGACGCATTCTTGTGGTACGAGCCGCCTTGATGGATTCAGGTACAATGATTCCCGTGTAGCGGCACGGAGAACGATATAAAATCGCCTAGTCGCTCGTTCCATCAGACCACCATAACCCTAGGCGGGCTTCTATTGTTCCATCCTTTCCTCGCCATCCCAGACTTCACCATGGTTCGTAGCAGGTATCCTTTACGTTGGCAACTACATACTAAACTAAAGACAGCCCCATACGCGAGGTCTATCGAATCCAGTCTTATACAGAGTTGCAGCATATCTCGAAAGCTGCGAGATATTCGCTCTCGCGAGAACGTGTCGAAACATCCAAACCAGACTACAACCGGCCATACTTGCAATCAACGTCGAATGTCGAAACAGCAGTTTGCTCGGCCTTGCTGCCGTGATCAACGATCTTGACCTCGCCGAAAGGCTCCTGCAACGCAGGGTAGACGTCAATGCGTTCTTTCGAGGAAAGACCCCGGTGATTAGGGCTCTCAAGTACTCATCTTATGACGTATTGCAGCTCCTGCTGGAAAGCCCCGCACTGGATATCAACCTCCAAAACCAGGCGCAAGAAAGCGCGCTATGGTATGCCGTTACATACGGAACTTATTCTGTGGTACAAAACTTGCTAGAGGTTCCAAACTTACGAGTTGACCTCCCGCACAGGCGAGGACGAACGGCACTTCATCTCGCGGTCTGGTGGGGCAAAACGGGGCTGGCGCGACTGCTCTTCTCCCGCGGCATCAATGCCCTCACTACAGATGACTTTGCAAGTCACCCCGCGCATGGGCATGGCGCATCGACCGGCCGCCCATAAAGTGGATCTTTGTAGGCGCACAGGGGACAGGGCCTTCGCTCTCTTTCTACAGGCCATCCGCCGGCTATCAGACGACCGATGACAATGAGCTGCCACTCCACCAAGCGGTAGCCCATGGATCCGCAGACGCTGCCAAGCTCCTTCTGATGCAGAAGCATCTGGCCCTGGATGCTCAGGATCACAGCTGGGATACTCCACTTCACCTCGCCGTTCGATGTCGACGCCTGGAAGTGGTGGATTTGCTGCTGAGCCACCCGTGTGCCAAGATCAACTGTCGAGACAAAGACGGCAACACCCCGCTCTGGTTGTCGACATTTTCCTCGCGCGACGACATGACCGAGAGACTATTGACTGCAAAAGACATTGGTGTCAACTTTGTGGGTGGTCGTGGTCAAACACAACCGCTTTCCACTTCTCTGCACCAAACGGTCGCAAGTGACACAGTCGCTCTGCGGTGGCTTCTCGAGATACCTGGCATCGACCCCAATCTCTGTGTGGCAGGCGCCTCTCCTTTTTCCGCGGCGGCCGCGAACGGCAACACTCATGCGATGGCGATGCTCTTGAGCAAGAGGGACGTAGAGACCAATGCGACAAACTTGGCAGATTCACCCCTTTGTCGAGCGGCGGAAAATGGCCACTTGGAAGCGGTAAAGCTCTTGGTGCGACAGGGCGTGTCTCTGGCAATTAACCTGTTGAAATTATTATTATTATTATTATTATTATTAATTATTTAACGTCGCCGGCAGGTCACTTGGCAGGTGACCCGCTACCTCCCGAGGGGTAACTGGACGTGCTACCTAAGCGATGATTTACTACAACTAGCTAACTAGCTCAACAAAATGTACGCTGGAAAGCAGCAAATTTGAGCACTACGTGCTGAGAAAGGAATCGAAGGAGCGCCAGGCACTATCCTGGCCTGGGTTCCTGGGGGTGGAGTACCCGGTCTGACTACCCGTGGATGGGAGAGGGTGCCAGCCTCTCCCATTTAGGCAGAGGTGAAGACTGTTGCGCTATGCGGCGCATGTTTGTGCCCGATTTGGGCAGATATCCTTAAAGAAGGACGTTTCTTGCACGAAACGGCCGAATTCCTCGGCCCCAGCAGCTGTGCTCAGTATCCAGTCTATCATTGCAGATGGGCTGACCTTTGGACCTTTCCATCGATCCTTCCAGCGTTTCCTCGCAGGCGGGCAGAAGAAGAAGTGGACGGGGGATTTTGGCTTACCGCAGGAGCAGGTCGTAAGGGAGTCCCTGTGATGGAACCTCTCGTGGTATGCCTGGAAGTCACCATGGCCAGTCCGCGCGGCTAGTAGCCGGCCGAGCACCCCGCGGGGAAGCCGGTGTTCCCGAGCGCGGCTGTTCTTGGTGTGAGGTTGAATATTTAGGTCTTGGTATGCCTGAGGTGCGTCCCTGGTATACGCAGTACACGTTGCCGCGCGGGTATGTTGTTTCGCTTCGCGCATTAGGTAAGATAGGGAAGGGGGAATATGGGAGCCGTCTAACGCTGCGCCCCTCTTTGCTAGCTCATCGGCAGTCTCGTTCCCTGCTATCCCGGAGTGGCCTGGCCCAAAAGACATTAAGTAGCTTTGACAGGCCTACTTGCATAGACCACTACCCCAGTTTTTCACCCGATAATTGAGGTTTCTGGACTCTTGAGGTTCACCAGGCCTCTCACCCTGGGTGTCTCTTAGTTTGCTCCTTAAGCATACATCATGGGCAGGCCAACTAGGACGACACCGCTTCAACCGACCTAGGTCAGTCTCAGGCCCCCAGTGCGAGTGAGGTAGTTGACTCCCGTCTCTTTGTACACCGACACGCGCATCCGTCCTCTCGGGCTATACAAACAGTCTCTTGGCAGGACCCAGCCCTGCCACAGTGGCTGCCATTGTACACCACGCCCGCGAGAGCTGTTGCTCTCGTTTCGCGTTACCTAGGGAGGTCTCCCTCCACTAGGCCGACCGTGTCTTGCAGAGAGCCCTCGTATACGCTCCAGCCGGCAGTGTATGTCGGTTGCTCTCTACTAACCAAGCTTGGTCCCCAGTGACTGGACAGGGCCGATGATTTACCCGTGGCACAGCCTTAACGAGCTTCATCAGTTGCCATCAGTCAACCACCAATATCTTCCAGATTGCCCGTGTGTCTCCCAAGAGGGTTGCCCGTGTCTCGGCGGTGCCCGTGTCTTGAAGGACAGCCGCACCAGAGCTTGCCCGTGGCTTCGCCTTAACGAGGTCTCCAGTAATCGACGTCTCCGAGCCTTAACGAGTTCGAGTCTTAACGAGGCCTCTGGGCCTTGAACGAGGTCTGTCCGATGTTAGCTTGACTGCCTGCGTCGCTGGTTCACTACCGCCTCGCCGCATCTCGCACGATGCGATCCCAGACCGTATGCAAGCTCAGGGGTGTCCTGTCTTCTTCCTAGGGCGACACCACTTCAACTGGTAATGCAAGACCAGCGTCTGGGCCCGAGTGCGAGTCGGGTAAGAAGAAGTCGGATGGTTTTCATATGCCGTTTTCCCCTGATTTTTGGTGTGGTTGTGCGGTCGTGCCCCGCGCCCACCGCGCCGGGCCGGACCGCACAACCACGTCGGATTCACTTTGGTCTCCCCAACGGGGATTAACACCGGACACCACGAGAAGGTATGAATCCATTGTCCCAACAGCCTGGCGAGGACTGTCGCCCAGTGCGAGCTCACTGGGGGCTTAACCTGTTGAAATATCCCAGTTGCTGAGATAATAATCAGGCTGGGATCACGTGCATACATGTTACCAATCTCTCTGTTACTTGTATCTTAGACAACACATACAACACAACACACAATAAACTCCCCTCAATAACATGAGCATTGAAGCATCACTTAATAAACCAACACGGGACAAGACGGTAGGTTTGACCTTTCAAGACTCTTGAGCAACTAGGCTGTCGAACATCCACTAGATATCTAATTGAATTCCATATTGAAAGCAATCCAGATGCTGACTGGCAAAAATAAACCCAGCTCCAGTTAATCAAAATATTTTGACAAGAAATAGCTAAATGAGAAAACGATGGGGTAAATAGAAATACATGGTTTACTTCCTCTCCATTGGTATATTTGGTCAGAGACACTGATCACATTGCGAAGAGGGAATTTATGTGATAGATTCAATGTAGATTCAATGAGATGATGCTCGTCTAGGATACACCATATTATGCCTTCAAACTGTATTCAGGTGGTGGATTCAAGGTCTTCGGGACTACCTCAGGTAGTACTGAATTGCCTTTTGATTGTGTTTTCATATAATTGCGCAATAATGTTCTGAGCTTTGGATCGTTGGTGCTAAATTCGGGGACTCTGCCATCTGCGTTTGTTGAGGTTGCGGAAGCACCGTGTTCGACTAAAAGCCGAATCATTTCAGCTGTCTCTTCTGAAGACCTGTAGTAGAGTGATCCAGCCTGAACTGCCTCATGAAGGGCTCGGTTTCCATAGCTGCCTTTCATCTCAACGTCTGCTCCATGATTCAAGAATGTTCGAGTCATCGCGATGTTTCTAGCTCTGATTGCGGTGTGAAAAAGCAACTGTTTCTCGCGATCACGAGCCTCACACAGGTTTGGATAGTAGCGTAAAAAGATATCCACTGTTTTTTCGAACCCGTTCTTAATTGCATAGGCCAGAGGGGAGTTCCCGGTGTAATCCTTCCCGTCAACTGCCAAGCTCGGCCCAGTAATTCGACTCCATAGAGATCGGTTCAACGCCATGTCATGCTTCAGCAAGATCTCACATATGTCATGGTGTCCCTTCTTAGCAGCAAGAAGCAGAGCTGTCTCGCTTCCAGCATTGGAAAGAGTAGGAGCACTATGATTTAAAAGAAGCTTGACGATTTCCAAGTGACCCAAGAAGGCAGCGATACGAAGGGATCTGTGTAGGTCTGTTTCTCTTGCCTCGTCTCTCGTATCTCCTATAGATGGATCACACTCCAGGAGCAATCCAACAATCTGACTGTGACCTCCGAGAACGGCAAGTTGGAGAGGGGTTCTGTTGTTGCCATCCAGGAGCCTAAGGATTGCATTCCTCTCGAGCAAAAGACGGGCGACATCCCAATAACCCCCTTTTACTGCATTATGAAGAGCCGAGGTTCCGGTCTCGTCCACGGTGTTCGGGTCTTCTCCATTCTCTAGGAGCGCTGTGACGAGATCCAGCCGACCTATTTCGGCCGCAATAACAATAGTTTCGTTGATTTGGCAATTTTCATTTTTGGAAGTTTCAGTCATCTTGACAGACATGACATGTATTTATCTAAAGGTTAAGAAGGAGGTTCAAATGTCCCAAGCCATCAGTTCATGTCGGTCTCTTTGCTTCTTCTGGCGTTTTAGTGCGCCAAGTCGACCTAGCCCCATTCGGGTTTGAATAAGCGAAACCCGTCGGCATAATTCCTTAGCGCGAGTTACCTTGATCTGGCAAGGCGAAATCCTTCTTTGAAGAACTGTGCTAATACCTAGATGTATGATGACATGGTATCAGGATCTGATTTCAAATACCAGAGGTTCAAGTCGACCTTCCAGCTACATTCAATTTGTGATGGGGACTGCGTGTTGTGATATAAAGTGCAGATCAGGAAGCGACAACTTCGCAACCTGGAAACGTCTCATGACCTCCTACCTCAAGGCAAGGCAGGTCTGGGATGTCGTGTCGGGCGACCTTCAGCGTCCTGACTGCTCGTTCAAATACGCCAAACCCATCACGGCGGACATCCACCCTCTGGTGGAACTGCACCTGGTTGGGGCGGTGAGGCAACGCGCCATCGAAGCGCGCCTCGAGGTGGAGGTCCAGGCATTCGAGTGCCACCGTGAATGGTCGCGCCGCGAAGCCGAAGCCTACCACACCATCTTCCGGTACCTATCCCCCCAGATCAGCATCCATGTCGCGGGACTCGAGACGTTTCGCGACCTCTGGAATGAGCTCGAAGAGCGGTACCGGCGGATGGAACTCGCGACGTTCTGCGAGCTGTTCGCTCAGCTTCGTGAAACCACCGGCGAGCGCTGCGGCAGTGCCCGCGAATTTGTCGATCATGTACGGATGCTAGTGCACCGATTGAATGCGATCGCCCCTGGATCGATCGGCGACAAAGCCCATATTGCGATTCTGCTCACGCAGATCGGACCAGAATACATCCTGGTCGTGGATGCGATCCAGAATGATAAGGATCCTGTCAACCCGGCAAATATTGGCAGCGAAAGGACACCGCAACGTTCCCGCAAAGAGTTCCCGGAGGAACAAGCAACCCCTCTATCAGTACGGTGCAGAAGAACACCAGAAAATGCAACTACTGCAAGAAACGCGGTCATGTAGTTGCGGAGTGCTGGACGAAACAGCGCGAACAACAATCGCCCAGGGACCATGCCCTGAAGGCAGAACGGAGTGCTTCCGGCTCACCAAGAAGCAATTTACGAAATATACCATCAAGCCAGATGGAAGATCGGCAGGGCCCGCCGACTTGCAAGAAACCGAGGATCAATATCGTGAGGGCGAGGGTGACGACCCTTTATACCCACGCACCGCAACCCCGGTGGATCCTGGACTCGGCCGCCACCAGCCACATCTGCTGGGACCGCAGCTGCTTCAGCAGTCTTCGGCCCCATCGCGAGATGTTGGACACAGCGGGCGATCCAGTGGAAGCCGAAGGGATTGGTACGGTGAAGCTCACGCTCCGGGGGAAGTTCAACCAACCCCTGGTGTTAAAGAATGTATACTTCGCGCCACGCGTTGGGATGAACCTGATCAGCGTGCCGAAGCTGTTGCGAGACCGCTATTCGGTGGTGGCGCACCCGCAGAACGTCTTTGTGCAACGCCGAGGACGGACTGTGGGGACCGCCTACCACGCGGAGGAGGATCTACTGATCCTGCGGTGCCATGTGAGCAAGAGATCCCAAGAGCGAGTCCAACTGGCGAGGGCGCCGGCGACTCATGACCATGCAGATTCCCTGGAACCGCAGCCGGTGGTCATGGACGTCGACGACCCTCGAGAGTCAAGTGACGTAGAATGTACAGCGTCAACCTCTGAACTCAGTGGTGAAGCTCGGATACTCGAAGAAGATGCGGGCAAAGGAGTGGGCCAGGCCTCCGAAGCGCTGTGGCACGCTCGGATGGGACATCTGAACCGGGGCGACTTGCGGGTGGTCCTCCGGCAGACCGGCACTCCGTACCGACCGCTGACGCAGGCGCAGCTGCAGGCAACGCCGCAGTGCCCGGCGTGCATGTCGGGTAAGCAGCATCAGAAGAGGAACTCCCGTGCGCGACGGCCACGTCTGCATTCAACGAGAATCTTCGAATTGATTCATTCGGACATCATGGAGATGCCGATGGCCAAAGATGGCTCCAGGTACGTGATCACCTTTACTGACGACTACTCTCGAGGCTCGTGGGCATATGCCATGAGATGGAGACACGAAGCGTTAAAGAAGTTCCAACGATTCGAAGCTTGGGTGTACCGACAGTTCGGCGCCCGGCTGAAAAGGTTCCTTACCGACAACGGGAGAGAATATTTGCCCATTGGAACACATCTCGAATCCCAGGGAGTTGAGTTTGACACCTCGCCGCCCTACTGCAAAGGGCAGAATGGACTGGCCGAGCGTACCAATCGCACTATCCGGGAGCGGATCAACACGCTCCTGTCCGATGCGAACCTTCCTCCTTCCTGGTGGATCGAGCTGGTAGACACAGTCGTCTATCTGAAGCTGCGCGCTCCAGCTTCAATCTTTCGGAAGAAGACCCCGTACGAAACTATATATGGGAAGCCGCCATCGCTGTTACATCTACGACGGATCGGCTCCCGAGCATGGGTCTTAATTCCAAAAGAGCATCGAGCTAAACTCGGACCGAGATCATCCGAGTGCCGACTAGTTGGTTATTGTGAACCAAACCAGTACAAGCTGTATGAAATCCATTCTAGAAAGACTGTCTTTTCCCGTGATGTCGAGTTCGATGAGAGGACCCCAGTGGCGCCACTCATCGAGGGGGAAACAGGCAACGACCTCCCGGACAACGCTCCTCCATCAGCTGTCTTTCCGTCACTGCCGATAAGTTCAGCCAGCGGGCTGCCCACACCACCTGCTTCACCATTGCCTCCGTCGGCTGAGCGAGAGAAAGCGCCATCTGAGCGTGAAGAGGAGACACCTCCGGCAGTTAATCCAAGCCAACAGGGAACTGACCTGACACAGGATCTTGGATATTCGTTATATGGCCGCAGAAGAAGGCCTTCGCGAAGGTTGCTGGAATCACTCGGCAAGGTGTATTCGGCAGGCGCACTGAAAACTGCATCTGTGAGCAAAGTCGACCCGTCGACTTTCCACGAGGCCGTGTCGGGCTCAAATCAACAGGAATGGTGGGCAGCCATCCAGAAAGAATATTCGTCTCTTCTGGAACACGGAACATGGGAAAAGGTTCTGCGAACAGACGTACCAGCTGGAGATCATGTGATAGGCTGTAAATGGGTCTTCAAAACCAAAGCCAACGGAACCCGCAAGGCTAGATTGGTCATCAAGGGCTACCGACAGAAACACGGTATCGATTATCATGAAACATTTGCAGCTGTGTCACGAATGGACTCGGTGCGCTGCATTGTCGCCAGCGCAGTGTTGCGCGGATGGAAACTCCACCAATTCGATGCTGTCACTGCATTCCTGCATGGTGACGTTGACTCCTCCATTTACATGGATTTGCCCGAAGGCTTCGAAGAGCCAGGATATGTTTGTCGGCTTTGCCGCTCCCTGTATGGCCTTAAGCAGGCCCTGCGGATTTGGTACCAATGCGTCCACCGCGTCCTGGCGGCCCATGGCTTCACCATGACGCAACCCGACAACTGCGTCTTCTATAAATCCAATTGCATTGTCTGTGTTTATGTCGACGATTTTCTCGTTGCGGCAGCAGATAAAAACGAGGTGGAACAGGTTCAAAGTGCCTTGGAAACGGAGTTCCGATTGAACGATCTCGGAACTCCGCGTTCTTTCCTTGGAAACCAGTTCGACTTCCAGGCCGATGGATCTGTGTCCATCCACCAACATCAGTACATCCAAAAGGTCCTCTCCGACTTTTGCATGGAGACGTGCCAGCCGAAGAGCACGCCCATGAATCCAAAGCAGGTCCTGAATCATCGTCTAGACGGGGATCCTTTGGACGAAGAAGCAAAATCTCGCTACGCAACCGCTATAGGGTCGCTGATGTATCTCATGGTAGGCACACGGCCCGATATCGCGTTTGCGCTGGGAACTTTGAGTCGCTTCATGGCCCGACCGCAATCGCATCACCAGGCTGCGCTACAGAGATTGCTTCGCTACGTCAAAGCCACACAGCGTCATCGCATCGCATACCGCAGTGGGCAATTGATCGGATACACCGACGCCGACTTTGGTGGCTCCGTCGTCACTGACGGGGCTTACTCGACGTCCGGCTATGTGTTTCAACTTGCAGGAGCACCAGTATCCTGGTCGTCCAAGAGACAGGGAAGCGGCCACGTCCACAACCCATGCCGAGTACATCGGACAATACAATGCATTTTGCATCTGCAGTGGCTCCGCACATTCTTGGGAGAAACACGTTTGTATCAGTCACCGGTCACCAACATCATGGCCGACAACCAGTCCGCCATTGCTCTCTCTCGCAATCCCGAGTTCCATAAACGGACGAAACACTTTAACGTGAAATTCCATTATCAGCGAGCTGTGCTGACTGCAGGAGAGATCAATCTGCAATATCTTCCCACCGAGAAAGAGGCCGCTGACGGTCTCACCAAGCCCTTGGGACCTACAGCCTTTGGCAAGTTCCGTAGTCTCTTAGGAATCGAAGCCTGGGAAACTCGGAGGCAAAAATGCGTGACAGCGCAGGCGCTCTTTCCACTTCATTTTCCCACAAGGTTTTGAGTGGTATTACCGAGGCCTGACTGCTCAGCGCGAATTCAGTATCGCCTTGCCAGCAAAGCGATCCTGGGAGGGAATGTTGTGATATGAGGCTGGTGCAGATCAGGAACAAAGCCGCACCATCGGAAATAATTCCCGAGGTGTCTATACAAAGACTCAAGTTGATTGGAAATCAACTTGATCTTGTCGCAGTATATATAGCCTCATGTATTCCCTCTGAACTAAGGACAATCAATCTTCCTTTGAATTACATCAGTTTTGTCTGTACGCAGATTTGAAGCTTTCTTGCAATGGCCGTATTTTCGCCGGGTCAAGTTTGCAATGGAAGACTCTAAAGACAAGATATCAGCCGTGATAGA